TGATTCTTATTATTGAGAACAGTAAGTTATAATATGCTCAGATCCTAAGCTTTATTTATTGTTTGTTCGAATAAATACACCTTTAAATTTGTAGATTAAAATTAGTTTTAATTTTGAATGGTGAAATGATAAATACAAAAGAAGAAATATCAAACATACAGCTGTGTCTATTAATAATTAAGGGTGCCCTACTGCAATCTTTGCATGTAATTCTGCATAGGGGAAAGGAACTGTGGTACTGCAAACTGTCAGTGCCCTGGGATGTCTGATTTAAGTTGGCATAGGATCTTGGGAGAGAATTAGCCTTTTATGTTTGATTTGTTAACAATCTGCTGGCCTTTTCTCTCTAGCACCAATGACCGGTAATTGTTTCTCTCTTGGTTTGTTTTGGGGTGGGTTTTTTTTTGGTGTGGGGGGGTGGGGGTGGGGTGGTGTTTGGTTGGTTTGGTTGGGTTTTTTTTTTTCCCCTTTTTTTCCTTCATTAAGGATCTAGACAGCAGTCTAAACTTTTTTCAGGAACTGTCAAGTATTATCTGCTACACTACAGAACAGGCATTTTGCTATTGAGTTTGGACAGTAGTACATTTAATGTGTAACATTTGAGCACTGCTAATTCTGTGTTCTCAAAAGCATATTGCAGCTATTACAATTGACTGTATTCTGCAGATTGTGAAGCTAAGCCATTTTATAGGACGGCAAGATTTTTTTTTTTTAATTGTCTTGAGTTGCCTGTGTTTTTTAACTTGTCTGCCCCTCCTCCTCCTCCCCCCTCAAATCCCCCTCTTCTAGAAACAAAGACTTGTTTGTTCCTTCTCTGCCTGTGAGGTCTTTGCAGCCTGCACTGTGTGGGTGCAGAGCCCCTTATTTAAATGCTTTCCATACCCATGGAAGGTAAGGAACAGGATGCATCAGAAAACTGCAAAGTCCTAACTGTAATAGATAAATGAAGCTCTTTGCCTTTGAATTCCAAAGTACTTTCAAAAAGAGCTCTGTGTGTCAGGGTCATCACAAACCCATGAGGTGTGGAAGAAATAAAATGTGCTTATCTGAGATCATATTGATAAGCGTATTCTTTAGAGTGCAGATTTCTTCAGTCATGTCCTTGGTAAGTAGTGGAGAATTGAGAATTTAAAAAAACTCAAACCACAAAACAACCCAAACCCAAAACAAACAAAAAACCTTAACCAACAGCAAAAAAACCCCCACCTCAAGAACCCTCTGTTTTTTCCTGTCGCTTGAAACAAGATGTGTTTTCCCTCTTTTCATTAAATATTGAGTTTGAAATTATAGAAAATTACATTCTTCTTTCTGTTTCCCTTGAAGATAGCACACTTGTGTAATCAGCCAGGATAGCTAAAAGTCATTTAGTGTTATTACTGTTGGTTTTTTCCCCATTGGTTCTTCACTTGGGCATGTTGTTAAGTCAGTAATATTCAGTTAGCAATATCTTCTTTTAATGTCCAGACTTTAACTGTGAAACTAAACTAAAAGAGAGTTGCCTTACACAAAAAACATCTCCATGGTCTGTTCTGAGGACAGTTTAAAATCTTGTCAACTTGAAGTCTTTTGCACATGCATTCTTGAAATAATAAAATGCTCAGAAAAATCTTCCTAATGGATACCTCAATAAGAATTTAGAAACTAGATTTTTAGGTTCAGTTTCTGAAGAGCTACAAAATCATATGATTAAATTTCCCCCCAATATTTATTGATGAATATTAAGTATACACTGAAGTGGCAATATCTTATTATATTCCTGTTCAAGATACGCTTTACTTACATACATTACTTTCAAAATGGACATTAGAAGGCATTTCAGGGATCTAGGATGAGGAACTAAAATGAAAAACAACAGACAAACATGATTTGTTTCTTACGGTTTTAATTGCAAAGTCAGTAGATGTGAAGAATGGAGTGAACTAGGATCAGAGAAAACTGGAATAATACAAGCAGCTGTCAGAAAGATACAGGTATACAAAATACGATAAACTTGGCATGAGAAGGAAATTATTTCCAAAACTGCATGTTAGTGGGAAAGAAACCTTGGGAAGTAATACTCGTATGGTGCATGCAGGAAAAACAAATACATAACATGTGAAGGGATGTTAGTGATATTGCACTTATGTGTTTAATGAAGGTTAGAAACTGTTAGATTCTTATGTTATCTGTAACGCGACTTGGCTGTGAACTGCATGAGGCAGGGACTCCGAAACCCTGATTATGTAACTGGAGATCAGACCATATAGACGGCATTTTTACCCAAAAGAAAATTGACATTCTTTGGCTTTGGGTACTTAATTTTTTACAAGCTAGGCAGTTTGCTTTTAACTTAGATGTGCCTATTTCAGGTGATTGCCACTTTCTAACCTTTGTCCCTCGTTACTTTCCACTGTAATTGACCCTCCATCATGTTTAATACCAGGGTTTGAATCCTGGAACTTCTGAAGGGTAGCACAGGCTTCTGCTTGAGTTGCAGAATTAGCTAATAGCAAGGGAAGGCTGTTTTCTGTTGTCCTTTACTAACCCCTTCATTGTCTGCTTCTGAGGTGAAAGAGGGTAAGATATAAAAAGCAAAACGCATGGGCCTGATTCCAGAATTGATAGGTTTCTGGGTAAAAAGAGAGAAAGGAGGAGATCTATGCTCTGCTCCAGCAGTGTCGTGTCCAGCTTGTCCAGAGCTGCTAGGTGGGCTGCCTTTCTTTGGCATTGCTCTCTCTAGCTGCAGCTTCACCCTAATTTGATAAATGTCGGTAGTCTAATTGCTGTCAGTCTTCTAGCAGCTTGCCCACTGGAGGTCCCTGAGCTTGTAATTACAGTTCACTGCTCATGTCCTTGCAGGACAGCTGTTGGTGCTGTTGAAACTTTTGCTTAACAGTTTCTCGTGTCTTGGGGCATAGGAACCTTCTCTGTGTGTTCGGCAGAGGAGCAGGCTGTCCTGTCTCTTCCTATTGCTGGCCTGGGGACCACAGCTCATGTGGCAAAGCAAGTTGATTGGCTCATCCTGGTCACCTTCTCCCTGAAGTTCAGTTTTGATGGTGAAGTGGTCCTGGATGTCTTGTAAGATCAGCTGCTTGATTTTTAAGCTTTAATCCACAGCAATGCCATCTTCCCACTATTTTTTCCCCTGCTGGGTCAGGATGGAACTTGCAGGTTGGAGTTGAACCTCCAGCCCTTTTGTGTTCACTCTGTTGTTTCTGCTTGGTACTGGCATTCAGTTTCTGTTCCTGTCTCACCTGTCCACTTATCTGTGATCAGATGTATGATGCTCTCTCACAAGCAACTACATAAAAGATCATTTCAAATTACTTCAAGCTATTTGACACTTCAATAATTTTGACTTGTCTCATGAAAATGTGACCCACCTGTGCCTTATCGACTACTTTGTGCTGAACCTATGGAATAGTTGAAAGGGTAGACTAGAGAGTTGAGTCTGTAACTGGTTTTGAACTTTTTTTTTCTTTTCTGTTTTCACTCCAGTGAGCATATGGCATTTCTTCTTCATATGTTACCTCTCAATGGAAAGATGAGCTGTGGCAAGGGGAAAAGGAAGCAAGGCTGTGAAGCAACGGCCATTTTTACTACTGTTATGAGATAAATATATTTAGGCTTTCTTGGAACAGAAGAAAAGCACTACTGTACCTTAAGTTGAACACTCAAAAGACAGTGGAGACTTAAGGGCTTTTCAGAGAAAAGATGATACAGATTCTTTATGAGACAATTCTCCTTTCTTATGATGGTTAGAAATGTTAGTGTTCCAAGAATCCTCTATATATGATGAAAACATTAATTCAAACTAGTATAACAGATGGTTTTCTTTGCACCAAATCAGCCTGTCATCCTAAAAGAAGCTCACTCCTTTTTTTTTTTTCCTCTTAGTTCCCATAAACCATAATCCACATTCCTAGAAAAAAAAATAATATCCATACCACTCTCCCATCACTGCTTCAGCAAATGCATTCTGCAGCATATAGTGCATGTTAACAAATTCAGGCTGTTCCAGACAACAGGATGAGGAAAGCTAGTTCCAAAACTTAAAGCCCCTGAAAATAGTGCCTTTGTAATACAGGCACTTTTCCCAGCCCTCTGTTTCACTGTGGGAACTCCACTGCCTCAGTTGACTTCAGCTATACTGGTCTCATGTCAGGGAAAAATCAGGCCTGTCGAGTGAATGTATCCCAGTCATGGATTATTTTATAAAATAAAATTGCCTTAGGTCTTGCTTTTATGGGGGAAAGGAAGATGGCTTCTCACTGTGCATTAGGCATTACAAGATGATACTCTTCCTTCTCCACACCCCAGAGTAGATGCATCACATACTTCTGTGGGGTAAAAGAAAACTAAGCACTGGCAAAATGTTTCCTATGATGATGGCAGCATTTTTGGCTGTATAATTCATCTGCCACTTCTGTACTAGTGCTGATTTTGCGTATCAAGATGCCTTAAATGGAGTCTGTAACGCTCAAAACTCGATGTGACAAGGATGTGAATGATTGTTGCGTGACCTGCACTGCATTGGGAAGAATGGTGGCCTTTAACGAAATGTAGTTTGATATAAGTGGGATAATCTGTTTTGTCATTCTGTGTGTTCTTGAGTTTAATGATTCTGAGATTTAACATGAATAAGAAAAGTGATTTTGTATTATTTGTGTCTAAATTGAGAATAGTTTATTAGGAAGAAGAGAGAGATCTTTCTAATTAAACTTGAAATATTTTGTTACCACTTCTGAATTTTCAGCAACTGACGCGTTTAACTGTTTTCAGAAGCTTTTAGAACAAGTATGTACTCTTAAACATGAGACTGTTGTGTTGATTTCACAGGAATAACACATGTGAGCATACATTTCACACTTTGAACGTCAGTGTAGCTTCATTTTTTGTACTGTCATGGCTTGTAATTTTATTTTATAAAATTTTTAATACATGCCTTCTAAGGATAATACTTTCCTTGCATGTATTTGTTTGAATTTCATTTTTAAATGTTTATTGTTTTGGTTTCTTAGCCATGAATCAACGAATCAGCCAAAGTGCTCCAGTGAAACAGCCACCCCCTCTGGCTCCTCAGAGTCCCCAAGGTGGTGTGATGGGTGGGAGTAGCTCCAATCAGCAACAACAGATGAGACTTCAGCAGCTACAGATGGAGAAGGAAAGGCTGAGACTGAAGCATCAAGAACTGCTTCGGCAGGTGAGGCCACAGGTTAGACACCTACTTCCACTATTTCTTTTGTATGTTTTGTTTTGTTTTGGCTAAGTTGTTGTATCAGTGAGGCTTAAAGACCGGTGACTGTACAAAAAGCTTTGAGATCTAAAAAGGTCTGAATTCATTCTGTTACCGATATCAGCTTAATAGTGAAAGTGTCTGACATACAGATTGAAGGATTTTGCTTTCCTCCCTCATTCCTCTCCCTAACAAAACTCTCTGAGAACAGGCTTCTTTACTATTAAGATGACATCATGCACTGTTGATCTGATGGGATATTCCTCTTGAGGATATCTTTCATATTCATGGAGTTCTGAGTCATGCAGAAAGATGAGAAGTTGGTTCCCACAACTGTTTTAGTTCTACCTTTTAAATGGAGCGAAGTCTTTCACTTTCAGAACCTGTCACAGTCTGTAGGATTTCAGAGTACTTTTAAAGTTTGTATAAGCTTAATTGAGGAGACACCTTGTTGCTAGAATCTTATCTGGTAAACAGTGGAGTGGAGCATGGAACAACTGAATCACTCGTGCTACATTTTGGACCTGTGGTTTTCTTATGCTGAAGAATTTCAAACTTCATAATTAGGCTGCAAGCTATTCCTTTCATTATTTTTCTACTCTATGAATATAGCTGTAGCAAATGTTCAAGTGTAGGACTGGACATTGGAATCTCTGGATTTTGAATTCGGGCTTGACTTCCACTTGACTTTAAGCCTTCTGCTTTGATTTTTCTATCTGAATGTTTTAAGAGTTACTGCCATCTGTGCTAGATACTGATGATATGCCTTGTTTTTTGACACTGTCAGAGAAAGCACTAATTGTTTCTTTGAGGAAAACCTTCCAAAATCTTACCCTGTTCCCTTTTCACTTTGGGTGATGGGCCTTGTATCAGTAGAGGATGATATCTTAATATCCTCAAAGACAGCTTTTCTCTTTCTTCATCACCTGCAGTATTCTGTCCTGGAATCTGATTCCCATTATCCCCTTTGTAGTCAAGGCCTGTTTTGTAGGAATCTTCAGCATCTCTTGGTGTAAGATGGGTCATCTTTATAGCCGTTACTTTTTATAGTGCTCTAGGTAAGAATACATTGCAAAGGTGGCATCAGGACTTTCTCTCTGCTTAAGCACCTGGGCTTCTGCTGTTCCTGCTTTGCTATTAATCCACCACCATTTTACCCTGTGCTAGCATGCTTCTAGGTAGGCCTTCTAATTGTCTTCTTGCCTCAGTTGTCATTGAGAACGTGACTAACTTTGGACCAGGTGACAGCCAGTTCCCTTCGTGTTGCTCTCCTTGGTCGTTAAGCTTATCTGTCAAATATGCATCCTTGGTAAATCTGTGAGTTTTGTTTCACTGTGTCATGATTTTCGTAGTTTCTTAACTCCCTTATCCTGTCTCATCTGGCCTGTCTTGGGGGCTTGATACTACAAGATGGTGTTTATAAGACAGCCTGCATAAGCAAACCATGCAGCTAAAGTAATTTTTATCCATCTTATTTTTACTCTTAGGCATTGCGGAATATCAATCCCAGCACAGCAAATTCTCCAAAACATCAGGTAGGCTCTTAACTGATGTTTCAGCATAATTAGAAAAATGAAAGCATTAAATTAGGCTAGCAGAGGAACTTTTTGCTATATAAAGGCATTCTAAAAAAGAGAAAAAAAACAACAAAAAAAATCCCAACAACAACCAAAAAAACCCAAGCTCTGCTGTACAGATTTTTGAACCACTTCTCTGATCACGACCCTAACGTTGTTTTTAAGAGTGCTGCATTACCACAACTTTATATCAATTTTTAAAAGCAAATGAGGAATTCATTGCACGTTTTTCTGCATTGAAAACAACCTTCTTGTTTAGCATTCTTGAGGATACTGCCGTTCCAGTCCTGATGTCATCAAGATGTGTATTTAAAGCAAACCTCTCATTATATCTAAGGTAGTAGTTTGTGACAAAATTTTAAGTACTGTTCATATGAATGTTCTTATCAGTTTGTTCAAACAGGTATGATCTTAAAGGAGGATATCTGTAATCAGTTAATAAAAATTCACTTGAAATATTTATGATTTTTAAGCGTGTACAGTGTAACAGAATTATTTAATAGATGAGACTAACAAAATAATTGCTATGGGGATATATGTAACTATTCCATTTTGCCATTTAACAGGCTTCTGCACAAATACATTTTCTGTATAGGAAGCAATAATTCTGAAAAGCCTCCCAAGCTCGGACCAAAAGAAAATTGGTCAAAATGTGAAGCATAATAAACAGTTTAATGCAGACTTCTTTTAGGCTCTTAAGAAGTTGAATATGGAATGAATCTCTGAGAGGGTGTATTTATGGATATATTCAGAGCACTTCTTGTTTGCTATTGCTAACAGTATTCTTAATCTACTGGTTCTTAAGACAATATTTATATTGGCTTGTATTGTACTTTGTTTTTCTAAGAAAAACACTATGTGCACCAGGCAAGAAAAACAGAATAAAAGAAAGTACCCTGTGTCTGGAAGCCATGAGTACTGATGAACCATTGCATTCTGAAGAGTATCACAAAATTTATACGTTACTAGTTCTCCCGAGAGGATCATCTTCAAAATAGAAACCTCAGACCTTAGAAACAGTACTGACACCCTGGAAAAATACTTTCTTGTTTAGCAATATCAGTGCAGCTCTAAAATGTAAGCATTTTAATTAAGATGTAATCATTTAATTCATTTACAGACCATTAACCACATAATGATCTCGTCTATCAATATTAGATCCTATTATGAAGGAGGATAAAAAAAATTCCTTGGGAATTGCTGGTATACAAGGGAATAAATGGAGAAGTACGGTTTTCCACACCAGTTGGAAACACCTTATCTTTTGCCACAATTAGGTCATTCAGAAGGGATGTTTTCCTTACTGAATGCCAAAAGTGTATGAAGCCCTGTCATACAATTGTTTGCTCTTCCACATTAACTTCTTCCTGTTGCCAGCTCAGAAATATGCAGCAAATGGAGAACTTTGGGATCAGTTTCATACCCAATAGGATCAGATTTTTGGAACTTCTTGAAATTCTGGCTTAAAACCCTAAAAAGCTGAAGAAGCACAAAGGGACCTTATTGATAGTCCATTACATGTACATGCGGTGGTCATTCTGCTTTGTTTGGAATGGGAACTGATGAAAGGATTTATGCAAAAATCAGGATTCCAGTTACATTTCGACTGGCTTTGTAACAGACTCACCTGCCTGGGATCAGTTGTATTAGTTTGTACTTGCTAAAGAGTTGAGCTGTGTTTGAGTGATCTGGTGGATAGAAAAGTAGGCAATCCTGTCAACTTAAAAGTTCTATAATACTAGATTATTCATGTTGTATCATCTAAATGTATTTTCTGTGTTTTCATGTATCCCTTCAGAAATGTAGTGAGCAGCCACATGTGGAAGAAGGTGATTTAGAGAACTGTATCTGGAAATTGTCTAAATGCTTCTTGAGGCCTTGTACTATAAAGGCAAACGTTGACTGTCTTCTCCAGTGATGCTGTGATTGAAGTCCCACTCTGTACATCCTGTCAGGTCATAGTCAAGCTAGTGAATCTGTGAAAAATCTCTAGAAAGAATGAACATTTCTTCGGTCAACTTTTCCTTTTTGAGAGATCCTTTCTTTACTTTATGAATAAAATTATTGTAGCTTAGAGGAATTATCTGCTTTCATGACGATAAAGCTGTGCTTGGGGGAAGAATAATAGCTGCTCTTGCTAAATTTTAGATGTTCTTTTAAGGAATACTGAAAACAAAATCTTCAAATGTTCTGTGCTCCTAATTCTGGGAAGAAAGTCTGTTTTAGAGGATTCTCAAGGTCTTCCTTTTGTAAAGAAATTATACTACACCAGCATTCTTGAAGCTTGCTTCTAATGAAGTATCTCTTTTATACGGATAAAAAAATCCTGAGAAATGTTCCTTTACTTGTAACTGGGTCTCTAAGCTTTCCTTAATTAAAGAATCAAGTAAGTTGAAAGGGACTGTCTAGTCCAACATCCTGCATCCAGCCCAACCTCCTCTTCCTTCTTGACATTTTTGTCCACAACCTGGATACAGTGCCACGATTGTATTGATATCTTTGGTCAGGTTTTTCTTTGGTCAGGTTTTTCTGATACTGGATGAACATTGTGTCCTTGCCAGTTTTTATTGCTTTGCCCTAATACTGTAGGTAGTATCCTGTAGTGACACTAACACTCTCAAGGTGTTACATATGGAGGCCTTGGCACTTAAATACCTCCTGGAAGGATTAAACAATTGCTCAGCTTAATCTTTTGTAATAAGTACTGTAAAAGACTCTTTTTGTTTGAGGATGTATTTTATTGTAATTCTAAAAATGTTGAAGTCAAAGGTATTTGAAGCAAAAATTATAACTTCCATATTTACTGTGCATAAACAAGAGCTATTGATACATCCAGGGAATTTGAGAACACCGAGCATCTGACCAGTTACTTATGCTCATCATCATCAATTGTCTGTGAACACCTTAAAGATGCCTACCTGTCTTAGGTGAGAGACTGGGAGACTTGACTTTCTCTCCATCCTCGGTAGCTCTCCTTCCATTTTCCTGCAATTAACATCCGGTTTTCAACCACGTTTCACCTAAGTAGCTGTCAGTCAACTTTTATATAAATCATAAAATTGGCTAGATGTTAGGTAACAGATTTCTTGCCTTCCAGTATACGATGGAAAGAGATAGAGGCAAATAATGTTGAGGAACTGATGGTGTTATTCTTGGATGTTGTGCAGACTACTTTCTTGTGCTAGGACGGGAAGATTTCTTACTCGTTTCCTGCTAATATTAGGGTATTCGCTAGTAAGATCAGCATACTACAGAGCTGTTTTCATGATAGGCTCTTCTTTCTTGGCAGTTCTGCATACCTGGAATGTGCTCTCTCTTTATTGTCTCCATTCTTTTGTCCTTATTTTATGAAGTACCTCTCATATTCTCTGTCCTATTGCACCAGTAAGGAAGGCATCATTAAAAACAAATGCAATCTGGAATTCTGTACTCTTGAACTTCCATGATGTTAGTGAAGCTGGAAGTTTTACTGAGAACTAAGGGTTTGGGGTTTTTTTTCTCTTCCCTGTAATATGTCTTTAAATAGCAACTTGTTATTGAACTTGTGTTCAAATCTTAGTGGAAATGGCGGGCAATAGTTACTTTAGTTTCTTAGTGAATCCCAAGCAATGTTGTCCCGTGAATCTCATTTCCCATTCTTCTGTGTATTATCTGAAGCTGACCTAGATTAACAAAAAAATTACTTGTCTTGGTTTCATCAAGGGTGTTTGGTGGGTCGCTTGGTGTTGGGTTTTTGGTTGTTGTTTTTTGTCGTTGTTGTTTTTTAAGCAGAGATAAGGTACTGAAGCCGGCTATTTGGTCTTTGAACATGGCTTTCTTGACCAGTGAAGGTATGACCACTGGCATACAGAAACATTTTTTGAAAATTACGTTTATAAGATGCAGGAAGAAAATAACAAGTCACGTGCAGCAAATTCATCTCTGTATTGTGTCCCTTGGTTTTAATTTGCCTGATTGCTTGATATTTGGTAGGGAAAACAGGCTGTGATATGCCTTATTATGAAGACATCCATTATGTGAAAGGTTTTGAGGAGAGCTAGCTAAGACTCAGTGGATAATCTTTGCGTCAAAGTTTTTTTCCCCATTTGAAATTTTTGCTTCTGATTGAATTTTTTTTAGTCAATATATACCTGAAACTTCAGGTATATATTGAAGCATTGTATCCCTCTTTTTTTTTTGTATTTTACTCACTTGATACCTCTTTTTACTAATACTAAGGTTTGATTTGTCCCTCGTGGCTTACATTTTCTGTTAGATGTTTGTTTTGTGCAAAGAACAGAAATTGTTACTGATTTCTTACTCTGCAAAATCAATTAAAAATATCACTGGAGCTCTGTCACACAGATAAGGGAGCTGAACAGCATGTACAATATTGTAAGTAACTTAAAGATTTCGAGTGGGCAGAAACCAACTTTGTATGCGTTAATCTCAATTGTCATTAAACTGTTGATATGTTATTGTTAGCATGAATATTTTACTTCATCAGGTAACAAACTGTTCTTATTCACTGGACTACCTTGCAAAACTCTTTGTAATTAATGAACTGACTTTTTTAGTCTATGGCAGTAAATTCAGCGTGTAATAACAAGTTGTAGCATATTGCCTCTATATAGGCATCTTTTCTAGAGAAAAGAAGATTGAGGGGGGATCTTATTAATACATACAAATACTTAATGGGAGGATGCCAGGGGGATGGGAGTAGTCTTTTTTCAGTGGCGCCCAGTGATAGGACGAGGGGTAATGGGCATAAACTTGAACATAGGAAGTTCCATCTTAACATGAGAAGGAACTTCTTTACTTTGAGGGTAGTGGAGCACTGGCACAGGCTGCCCAGAGAGGTGTTGGATGCTCCCACTCTGGAGACATTCAAAACCCGCCTGGACGCCGTCCTGTGCAACCTGTTGTAGGTGACCCTGCTCTGGCAGGGGGGTTGGACTAGATGATCTCCAGAGGTCCCT